TGCTTCACATAGCTGTGGCTGGTGCTGGCAGTCCGCTTCCCTTGCAGCCGCCTTTTCCAGGTACACACGCTGTCATTATAGCTGTCTTCTAGCAGGCTGGAGTCTCAGCGGTGGTGTGGTTTGTTTTAGTCTGAACTCAAAAAGTAAAGCTGCAGATAACAGGTACCATTTGCAAAAATACATGTCTTTCCGAGCATGAAGACCGCCTGTTGTGTGACCAAAATCGCTTCATATAGAAAACAAATTGCCTTCACACATGGGAGATGCTTCTTAATGCATGGGTGCAAACTGGTTTTAATTTTAGAGTTCTGGGGGTTTGGGAGTTGCCATTATTATCTGCTGGATCTGATGTGTTTTTTTTCCTTTGCATCCCTCACCATTGCTCACTTTCAAGTGTGTGCTGTGTCCATACCACAGCTAAGTTAGCTGCAGCAATTTCACAGGCTGCATGGGAGCCCTTTCTGTTACTTGCTGTCTCCTGGCTAGGAGAGTGTAAGAGTTGCTTTAGGTTTATATCCCTCAGCCAAAGGAAAGAACTTACTAAATCAGTCCCATATGCCAAATATCCTCCTCCTGGCTTGCACTGGGCGGTGTGTGGCTGTGTCAGGCAACCTTTCTCCCAGTTTCTGTGAAGCTTTACTGGAGGCAGAGTGGGAAGGAGCAGAAGGCCGGGTGATGAAGACCTACAGGGCTGGTGCAGTGGCCTCAGCACCTTCTCTTGGAGACCCTGGCTCCGTGGGCAGTCCGCACTACCTCCCTGTGCCGCAGCAGGAGCCTTCCCTTGGTGTGATTCGAGCTCCCTGGGTGCCAGCAGCACGGTGAGCCTCTCACCTCTCTCTGGGCCTGCTCCCAGGTGGGTGCTGGCAGGAAGGTTTCTATAGGAACCAGGGGCAGGAAAAACCTGCCCACCAAGTTCAGTGCTCTAATGTCAGGGACAGGAGGGCAGGCAGGGGAGGGATCTCCAGCAAGGCGGAGGCTGATGTGCGATGACGTGGACAAGGGAAATTGTTTCCCTCTGCTACACCTGTCCAGGGACCAGGAGGGACTACTTGCGGTCCATTGTGGTTTAATCAGTCAGCAATAAAGTGCCACACAGCCACTTGCTCACCTCCCCCCTCCTCCAGTGGAGGAGGAGAATCAGAGGAAAAGACAAGGAAGCTTGTGGATTGAGATAAGAACAATTTAATAATTGAATATAAATGAATAAAATAGGGATACTAATAATATTAACAATACTAATAATATTGACAATAATATGTAATGAAAATAAAACAAATGATACAATCACTCACCACCTGCTGACCGATACACAGCCAGGTGCTGAGTAGCGAGTCAGGGCCCAAGAGTGATCGCAGCAGAGTCCCAGCGAGCTACAGAAGCAACCAAGAAAGCCAGCTGACCCACCACCTAACTAATTACCGAATGATCTATGGCCCCCTGGCCCACACTCGGCTGATGTACTGACCATGATGTGTGTGGAATGAAATACCCCTTTGGTCAGTTTGGGTCAGCTGTCCTGGCTGTGTCCCCCCATGCTGCTTGTAACGAGAAGTTGTGAACACAGGTGTAGTATCAGAAGCCGAAAAAGTCCTTGAATTGGCACAAACACTCCTTAGCACCAACTAAAAAACACCAGTGTTATCAATACTCTTCTGGGGGCGAATCCAAAACACAGCCTTACACCAGCTACTGTGAAAAAAATTAACAGTAGTGTCCTGACTAAAAGCAGCCCACAGCCTCAGCACTGTCCTGTCCTGCTTCCCGAGCACCATCGTTAATTCCCTCGTTAATGGGGTGTTCTCTCATCTACGTGCTTAATGAACTGCCCGTCCCGTCCATAGCAGGTTGGTTTAGCAGTGATTGCACGTGTAATGAAGCTTGAGGCACCGAGCACGGCTTCAGAGAAGCACGGGTAACGAGAAGCACGGCAGACGTACCACGTGGCCAGAACCATGACTGCGTTCCTAATAAAAGTAGTTGTAAACGGGGATAACTGGGCTGGGAGAAGGACATGTCGCAGGCTCAGGAACAGAGCAGCTGTGGTTGCACAGTAGTGATAAGCCTGGAAAAAAGCATCAGAATACATTCACAGCGATGCTGAAAGGGGAATGAGTATTGTCAGCAGATTTACCTGCTTGGTGTGGCTGTAGCGTGCGTTCCCACATCAAGTGAGCCTGCAAGTGCTCGTTTGAGAAGTCGTCTTGTGTCTTCAGCTGCTGAAGGAAGAGTTGGGGCTAGAGGGATGGGCAGGATAGAAAGCACTTCCAGAACTTGAGGGTAAGCGGCTGGCCATTGTGTGGCCAACTTACTTCCCAGAAACAAAAGCTGAACTTTTTCTTGGTTGTTTTTTTTTTTTGCTTTTTGCCTTGAGAGTTGGTGTCGGAACATCAGAGCGTCAGTTCATCCATGCTAACCTTTCTCACGCGGAGAACTGTTTAAGGTAGGGAGGAGGAAGCCTTATCATTTGTGTTCTCAGACACAGGTGCTTTATATGCTTTTGCAATGTTTTACAGCTGCTTATCTTGGAGTGCTGTAGCGAGCCGCTTCCAGGCTGCAAGTGCTAGCCGGGAAGCCCGCCGACATGCAAAGGCAGGAGCAGCAGCATCACCTTGTGCTGCTGAGCACTGCAAACAACTCGGGACCTGCTGGATCAATCCCTGGGGTTCCTTCTTTTAGTGGTTTGAAGTCATAAGTAGATTTACTGGAAAGGGGAAGCTGGAAACCCCATCCCAGGCATGCAAAAGTTAGTTTCTCCTAGGTTCTTTCCCAAGTGAGTGTAAGTGACTGATACATCCCGGACCTGGCTTTATCTGCTTGGTAGAGGTGGCTCTTGCTGTCTCCCACACACAGCGTTATGGGGCTGGTCTTAAAGTCTAAAATATCTCTCTGATTATTGAATTATTCCATTTTTGTCCTGGAAAAGCCCTATAAAATTCTGCTGTGAACTGGTATCAGGAAAGTAAGGAGGGGAGCTGTGCAGGCAGGCTGTTTCAGCATCTGAGCTCTGTCACCTCAGATTTAGTTTAGAAGAGCCTGGCTCATTGCAGAGGAACTTGATAGCATGTTATCCACATCCTAGCCCAGTTCATCACAGAAAATCCTTGTCAGAAGCTTTCCCAGCTCCCTCCAGGGAGCTGTATTCCACAGCCTAATACACTTTGCTCCTGTGGTTTGTGATGCTATTCCTAAAATCTCTTTCAGGGTTATTGCATCTAATGATCCCCCCTTAAACCCTTTTCATCATTCCAGTCCCTTCTCCCTGGTCAGTGTGTTCAGAGCATGATGTATGGTGTAGGGTTTTTTCAGTATTCTTAATTAGATATAAGGCTCACAATATTTGATGGAAAAAGTGATGAAAGTTGACTTGGTTTTTGGCATTCTTTCAATCAGCAATGCTGTTACTGTCAAAAGGAATTTGGTAAATGACAGTGTGCTCTTTCTAGCTGATGGGTAGGTATGAAGCCAAGAGGAAATTCCAGTCTCTGAAATTTAATTTTCCTGTGGGGGAATTTAAATACTAAGGGATTTAATTTTCCTGTGGTGAAGTTGTGTGTGAGGGGTCCGTGTGTCCCCCACCAAGTTCTTAGATAGTAATTGAATTGTCTCATCACCTTTTTCTTTTTTTCTCCTTCCTTTTCGTAACAGGATAGTGACCTCTGACCCCCCAAGAACAGCCTTTCTGGACCTGCTGACAGCCTCTTCTACTCCTCCTCAACTAGTGCAATGTCAGGTGAGCAGACAAAAATGGACACAGTATCTTCTTGTTTGTTTGCTTGCTTGTTCTTTCTTCAGCTGCAACATAGTAAAAGAAAATTACTGGTTCCAAGAGCCATTCTTTACATTAACATACTGTCCAGGCAAACTCAGGGAGAGGAAACTGCCCACTCTTTGTGACCCAGCTGCCTTTTCACTCAGATTGAACTCTGTTCCCTTTTTTACCCTGTGCTGAGACCTGCAGAAGCTGCTTCAGCCGTTGAAAACAGAGAAAGAAAGAGGTTAAAATGTAGTCTGCCTTCCCCATTTTTCATAAGATTTACTTGATTCTGTTCTCCTCCCAAGATTTGCCCCAAAGTGGGCGGCTCACTTCATAATCTGAGACATTTTTTGCTGTACTGGGGTAGCTCTAGGGCAGGCAGAAGGCTGAAGAGTTACTGGGGTTGAACTGTGGACTGCTGAGATTACTAAAACTAGGTCATCTTACCGTGGCCGGCTCTCCCACCCCATATTTTTGTCTAAACCTTCCTTCCTGGTCCAGCTGGTTATTTCAGGGCATGTAACCCTGAGGGAGGCTACACTTCAAAGCTGAGTAATCCTTTTTCTTGGCCATGTGCACAGATGAAGACCTGGGGCATCTGCTTCAATTGCAAAACTTGATGTCTGCTTTTATTCCAAGGGAAGCTGTGCAGTGGGACACTACTGGAGACTGGAAAGGTGCTTCCCTTGAACAGAAAGGACCAAGATGATAGGCATACTTCCACTGCTGCAGCGCTCTCTACGTGGTCTGGCAGTATCCCAGCCTTTCTGGAGCAAAGACAGCATCTTGCTGAGGGCTCAGGTTTCCCATTTAGGTGCCTGGGTGGCAGGGTTTTAGGGAACTCTGGAGTGCTGCTGGTGCTGGGGTCAGTGCCTCAGCAGGAGACCTTTTCATCTTCATAACAATTTTTTTCAGTAGTGGTTCCCCTGGTTTGGCACTGACTGCACAGCTTTTCCAAGCAGAACAATCACATGATGCCATGGAACTATTACTCTTCCCTGAAAGTTTCTTCCTTAGAGGGAACTCTGTTTTGCCTTCCTGCTTCTTTTGCTTGATGATAAGGGAAAAGCCCATCTGAAATCACTTGCTTCCTTGGTGAAGTGGGAGCTCTCTCAGTGTCTAGAGTGGCCGCAGTGACAAACTGCCCAGAGTCCTGCCCTTGCTGGAACAGTCTGTATGAAGTGTGCGTCTTCCGAGGGAGTCCTTCCAGGTTTTCACTGCTCTATGTTGATCTTTTTCTGTTTAGGCCATCACACCCCCTCTGCTGGGGGTCCCTTCTCAGCACTCACTCCCAGCATTTGGCCCCAGGAGATACTGGCAAAATACACACAGGTACTGTGTGGGGAAGGGAGGGGGTGTTCTCTGGCTCTGCACAGGAGTAAAGGGACCCCGGTGATCTCTGGTGGTCTCTGAACGGAGGAAAAGGAGGGAAAGTTGCACTTTTCCTCTGATGGTTTGGTTGTGGACACTTGTTTGCCACTTAAACTGTGTGTGTTTTGCGGCTGCATCCTGGCTCTTGCGAGAGGATCTTGCAGAGCACAAAGAAACTTGTGTGAATTATTGCCCTGCCCTTTTGCAACTATTGCTCCACTGTAAAAATGTTGACACCCTCAGGGAGTCTCTGTCACCATCAAGCTACTCTGGATGGCTTGTGCATGGCAGGAAATGCTAGCCTCAAGACTTGTCACCAGGTGGGCAGAGCAGGAAGGAAGGAAGCAGCTATGGAATTTTGCAACTTACCCACAGTGGTTGCTGAAGGCAGCGGAGCTCAGTGAAGCAGACTGAGCTTATTGTGGAGCTGTGCTAGAGGCAAACTTCTGGGGTGCTGCTCGGGTGCAATGCTTGCGAGAGACGCCACAGGAGGGGCAGGAGAGCTTGCAGGAAAAGAGGAGGTTTTACTCCTTAAAAAAGCCTGGTTGTAACCTCTGGTGTGTATCCCCCAGTGCCAGCAGTGAGCACAGATGAGGAAAGTTGAGATTTGGGTCATAATTTCTTTTGGCCTATAATTTGGCCTTGCTTCACAGGTGCAAATCCCAGTTTTGCCTGCTGTGTCTCAGAGAAAATCTGAAGGCAACAGGCAGGAGATGGAGCAATGCAGAGAGCTGAATTTGCAGCGTGTGGACACTAGGTGACAGAGGACTGCTGTGTATTAGAGATGCAGAGAGGGGAGACCCCTTTAGCTGATGTGTGGGGACTGCTCAGCTCATGAGGAGGGCTGTGTTCCCCTCCAGGTGGGGAAGTTCTGATCTTGATATGATGCTGCGCTCAAGCAGAGGTACTAGGCTCTGCTGGAAAAGGGATTGCTGGGGAAATCTGTGCAAGTAGGAAAGCAGGGCCTCACAATTTCTATAGAGAAATTAAAATGGGGGTGGCATGCAACACCTCCCTACCTGGGAGTGGTGGTGGGAAGCACCAGAAATAAAAGGGCAAGGGGTCTAGTTTCTCAGAGGGCACGGTGGGATGGGGCAATACCCACATCTCTGTTCAGTTGTTCAAGGCTGGTGATAGTGTCTGTTCTACTTCCTCACGTTACCCAGAAAGAAGAATCCATCGAGCAGCCAGAGTTCCGCTACGATGAATTTGGTTTCCGAGTTGATAAGGAAGGTAAAGTCAGTCCCATCCCTAACCCTTCTGTTGTCTCTGGGTCCAGCCCTTCCCATGCTTCCGGGTGATTTTACAACTGTTCTATGCTAGGTCTCATCTACCCACCCGTCGTCATCTTTCTGTATCCTACCATTCTAATCCAGGTCCGTGCTGTCTTATGGGACTCCGGAGTGTAGAATATGCAGCAGAGTCACTTCCATCCCATTATGCTTGTGCCATGGGTGAGAGAGCGAGCAAAGTGAAGCAGATGTGACCATTTCCCAGCTACATGCTGGGGAAGGGCAGCTTTCCCAGTTGACGGTGGGGTCTCTGTCATGGTGTGCTGTAAGCACCAGTGACAGGCACAGTGACACATGATCTCTGTTAAAAACCTCGCGGCCAAGATGCACGGCAGCAGTTTGTGTTCTGCCCAGCCTAGCAGTTTGGCAAAGCATAGGGCAAACTGCACGGGCAGAAGGCACGTCCTACTTCTTCTGCAAGTTACAGAGACAGGAGACCAAACAGGAGGAGGTGTGGAGAGCTATTGCAGCTGGACATTGGGCTACAACAGCTGACTGCCTTTGCAAAGAGGGAGAGAAAGGAGTAGCGGATGCAGGAGTTGCTTTATGTGCTCCGAGATGACATTTCCAGGACTCAGGTCATACAGTGCAAGGGCAGAAGTTGTTTGCATGTATGCCCTGAGGCGCCTGGAGTCACAGAGGATCCTTTTTGAAGTGATGACCCAGAGATGAGAACAGGACACAGCGATTTTCTTCCGCCAGAACATTTGATAGACTCGTGTGTTATAAAATTAGCAGAAAGATTTGGACTGCATTGTTGGGATGTGTGACATGATGAAGGACAGAGTGCCTTATGTCAAACCTGTACCTGTGCTCAAGTATCTATTTTAGAAAGCCAGCCTCAGGTTAAGGCGCTCCCTCATTGTGGATTTGGAGGTGTCCCTGTTAAAGCTTCTTCCTGGTGATTAAATATCACCAAATTAATTTTTAATAATATTAAATAAATGAGGTGCAAGTTATGTTATGCATGAGCATACAGCTTTTGCTTGCCGCCTCTGAGGCTTGCTATGCTTTTGTCAGCCTGATTTACAGATCCTTACAGAACCCAGCAGGATGACTGCTGCCGGCGTCTTGTTTAATTCCAGCCACACTCTGCTCTAAATCATGAGTAAGTGGAGACTAGAAGCCTGCTGACAGCTTCTTAGTTCTCAAGGCCCCAGTGCCTTTTGCTTACGACTATAAAATGTACTGCATGGAGAAGACGGTTAGAAACCAAGCTTTGTCCTTCCATGCTCTGGCTGGAAGTCATGAATGTTTTCAGTGTACTTTCTTCGGATGGCCATCCTCCTCCCCACCCCATTCTATATTCGTTCCCTCTCCTCTTCCCTCTCTCACTTGTCTCCGTTTCTCTCCCTTCCCTTTGCTGAGGCAGATGGTGCTGAGCCAAACTCCAGCAAGCTTCTGGGGGTCCCACTGACGGAGGAGCCGCAGCAGCGGCTCAAGTGGCAGGCTCATCTGGAATTTACACACAACCATGACGTGGGCGACCTCACCTGGGACAAAATTGAGGTCACCCTCCCACATTCGGAGAAGCTGCGCTCCCTGGTGCTAGCCGGCATCCCACACAGCATGAGGCCACAGGTGAGAGTGCTGCCTGTTCTGGGCAGGCTGCCCAGAGTAAGAGACAGCAGAGCGAGACTGCTTTCTCTTGGTTGAGAGGCTGACAGGTTATGACTTTCTGTGTCTCTTATTGACTCTTCCTACCTCTGTTCACCCTGTCCCTCCAGCTGTGGATGCGCCTGTCGGGGGCCTTACAGAAGAAGAGGAATTCAGAGATGTCATATCGGGATATCGTGAAAAATAGCTCTAACGATGAAACCATTGCTGCCAAACAGGTAGGAGATCCTCACTAGTGCTGAGACACAAGGGAGTGGGGAGAAGGGCAAGACTTGCTGCGTGAGGAGGAAGGGGTGTCTGCCTAACACCTGCAGCAGGAGCAGTTGAGAGGACATGTGTGGTTGAATCCTGCTAAAGCTTAATCCTGTTGGGCATATTTCTCCTTTGTTTTGTTGGAATAGCAACCGTGCAGCTCCTCTCCTTCCTAGGACATCAGGGAAAGGGTTGGAGCCATACTGCCTGCAGGCTAGAAAACAGTGCTGCAGTTACCAACATCCTGATAGTCACTGAGGGAAGTGAAGGGTGAAAGGCTGATAGATGCACCTCTGTTGACGTAGTGGCAGCTGCTTCCAGGGATTGTCTTTGTTCCCCCAAACACAAAGTCTCTGAACACCAGCAAAACTGTTACAGGGTGTTTTCCCTCTTCTTCTGACCTCTCCCTTTGTGGGAGGAGGCAAAGGCCATGGCAGAAGAAACCGAGCTCTGCACATGTTCACCTCTCACTGAGAAGTTAGGTTCAAAGTGGTTGGAAAGAGGAACACCACTGCCCCAGAGAGGTATGTGGGCTGTTCACCTCCAAGTTCACTGTCACAGATGTGGCGAGGTGGTTGGTTTTTCTCTGGAATAGGTTTGTTGGGAAGCCTTGCTTGAAATCCAGGCAGATGAAATTCTCAACCAGTATGCCTGCTATTCTCAGAGGTGAAGCGAGGGGCTGAGTTTTAGGCAAGTATTTCTTGGGAAACACCAAGTTGCCATCTGCACTGGCATTTTCTCACATGTCAGTGAAGGTTGCTAAACTGACCCCAGGTGCTTGGACAGGGCTGGTTTTGGTGCCTAAGGACTTAGGGATGGGTGTGGGGAAGCAGAGTTCCCCGAGGCAAGGAGCTGTGGGGAAGTGCAGGGAGCAGAAGGCAATTGTTCAGGTGCTGCCAGCTGACCCTCTCCTTGTTTATGGCTCTCTGGCAGATTGAAAAGGACTTGCTCCGTACGATGCCCAGCAACGCCTGCTTCTCCAACATGAACAGTATCGGGGTGCCACGGCTACGCAGGATACTACGGGGACTTGCCTGGCTCTACCCTGAGATTGGATATTGCCAAGGCACTGGCATGGTAACCTGCTCTCCGTGTGTCTGTGACAGGGATCGTTTTGTCCATGGTGGCTATTCTGGGGCGAGTAAGTTGAAGCGGTGCTGCCAGACAGTGTGGTCTCCAGATGAGATGAAGGGAAATCCCTTCCTCATGGAACATTTTTCCTAATGAAAGGGAGAGCAGAATAATGCAGCGCATCCAAAGATGTGGAAGAATTCAGTCCATCTGTTGGGGAGGGACAGGCATTACACTGAGGAGAAATGCATTCAGTGGAGACTGCAGGAAAGCTGCTGCAGAGGGAGGAAGGCATTGATCACCTAGACACTGGTTCATCTCCATGTGAGGAAGTGGGAGAAGAGTTCTGCTCCCCTTAGGACAGACTTGGCATGCAGTTCTTCTTCCTTCAAAATCCCAGGTGGCTGCTTCTCTGCTGCTCTTCTTGGAGGAAGAAGATGCCTTCTGGATGATGTGCGCTATTATTGAGGAACTGGTTCCTGCCTCCTACTTCAGCACCACCCTGATGGGCGTGCAGACGGACCAGCGCGTCCTGCGACAGCTCATCGTGCAGTACCTGCCCCGCCTGGACAAGCTGCTCCAGGAGCATGACATCGGTAAAAGTGTGCCCTAGAAACCTTAGCTTTTCTTGCCAGGTGACACGCAGACAAAGATTATTGTCCTTGTTTCACAAAGGGAGGGCAGCGGGGCTGGGAGCAAACCTCCTGGCCCTGGAGGCAATGGATGGTCATCTTTAAACTGGGAGGACAGGCCTTAGGAGAGTCCATCTTCACTGACTTCTGTTGTGACTCTCCCGTGTCTCTATTCACAGAGCTCTCCTTGATCACCTTGCACTGGTTCCTCACCTCTTTTGCTAGTGTTGTCCATATCAAGCTGCTGCTGCGTATCTGGGACCTCTTCTTCTACCAGGGCTCTCTGGTGCTGTTCCAGCTCACGCTGGGCATGCTCAGTATGAAGGTAATTCCCATCTCCTCTTCCTCCTTTGTAGCACTTAGGTGTTTAATTCTGAGTTTTAGGGGCAAGAAGGTTTTGTATCCACTTCCTATATGTGATTTGGGAATATGGTCAGGAAGATGACCTCCCACGTTCTTCAGAACTGGGAGCTCTGAAGAACTTCCAAGGCACTTTTCGGGATTCAGGATTTTTGTGGTTCAGCTTGCTGTGGGAAGGGTGAGGGTGAGCCTGCTGGGAGGAAGGGGGAGCACAGGTAGGAGCATGTTGTATGTGAGACTGAGCAGCTTCCATTCTCTTGTCCCCAGCGAGATTCCTGTTGTGCCCAGTCCTGGCGGTGGGTGCAGTGTAGCTTCTGTTTTGTCCTTGCTTGTTGATTTGACTTCATTTCTGTGATGGTGGCTGTGATTCAAAAGCATGACAGCTAGAATTTTAGGGGCAGATCTCAGTGCAGTACAGTAGTAAAAGATACTGTTCCCCTCCCATAGGTAGCTTGGATTCTTCCTACTGCAGTTTTTACAGAATTATCTAGTTGTACCTGCGTTGTTTCTGGCCCAGGCTGTCCACTGAATGTAAAATTGCATCTGGCAGCCCCAAGAGCATAGCTGTCATGCTTGCCGTTCTGTGTGGCAAAATGACTGCATCGTTGCAGGAGGATGAGCTAATCCAGTCTGAGAACTCTGCCTCGATCTTCAACACGCTCTCAGACATTCCCAGTCAGATTGAAGATGCAGATGTGCTGCTGCGGGAGGCCATGCGCGTGTCTGGCTCGCTGACAGATGTGGCGGTGGAGACCCAGCGTCGCAAACACTTGGCCTACCTCATTGCTGACCAAGGACAGCTGCTCAACTCCAGCACGACCGTCAACAATTTATCCAAAGTGAGTGCCCAGAGTCCCTGCTGCTGCTGCTCTGTCTTTACCATTCCCTTACGTGCTCCCTCCTAGTTGCTGTTTGTGAGCAAGAGGCCCTCCCGTCTGAGAGGATATGGGCTCCAGGTTGACTGTCACCCAGCGGAGAAATGCTACTGGGAAGCAAGGGGGAGGGCTGTGCTGATGAAATGCTGCCAGCTCTGCCCTGGTTGATAAATCCACGGGTGAAAGGCATATTTACATTTATTGTAATTATCATTAATGAGAGTGAGGATGGAAAGTGATGCATTTTATTAATGGAAACTAAAAGAAGCAACATATGCTTTTGGCAGAATTTGCTTGGAGCTTGCAGAGTAGGAACTGAAGTTAATCCATTAGTACGAAACTGATACACTAAAGTAACTCTGGAAGGTGGAGTCAGAAAACAGCAGCAACCTTTGAGGAGCTGAATAAAAAAATGCACCTGTGTTTAATCTTGGACTACAGTCTGCAGTTGCAGGTGTAGCTCTTGTTTGTCAAGCCTGTGTGAAAGAGATTCTTGGTGCTCCTCTGTGTGCTAATCACAAGACACTCCCACGATTGTGAAATGTAATAGGCATCCTCTTAGAAATTTATATGTAATTATGTGTAGAACTGCTTTTGGCAACAAGTAGAATTAGAACTAAAATTATCCACTTGAATCCTGGTTGATTCTTGAACTTCAATTATGCTTTAATTGAGCTATAAATAACCCACTGCACGTGGAGCAGATCAAGCAGTGGAGTCGATTCCTTGCAGTAGAAGAACTCCTGTCTAAAATTGCTGGTTCACCTGCCTGTCCCTTCCAGTGGTGGCTGTCAGGACCCCTTGCCCAGAGCTGACCTGGGTGGAGGATTGCTGCATTTTATTTCTGAACTCTGTCTTAGTGTGTGCGCTTTGTTCTCTCCTTTCCCTCTCCCTCAGGTTGTACGGCGCAGGACTCAGCGCAGGAAATCTGGCATCACCTCTCTGCTTTTCGGTAAGGGCATCCCTGTGCCTTTCGTGGGGTGCTGGTGGGTATAGCAGCCTGGGAAGGAGGAGAGGGAGCGAAGCAGGGAAGCACTGGGACAGAGGGAGAGTAGGGAGCCAGAACTGAAGGATATGAGGGAAGACGTGCAGGTTTCTACTTGCTCGCTTTGGTCTGTGCTCAGTAAGTGAATTTTGGGTTAGATGGTTAGTCCTTAAAGCGTGACTAACAGCGGGCTGCAGCTCAGCCCAGCTGTGGTGTGCTCCTTGCACTGACCAACGGGCCAAATACATTTTCTGGCAGACTGCATGCAGTTTATAAATGCAAACATCGTTGATGTTCCCCCTTACTTTTAGGGTTCAGTGTTCTGAACGCTTTTGAGTCTTAATTTTCTTTGCTTATGAGCTAAGCCAGCGTTTGTCCAGAAAGGACAGGGCCGGAATAGATTTTGTGTGGGTTTAACAGTAACTTACTTCTGTGACTCCATGATTGCCCTTTCTATTGTAAGCCTCACTGTCATCACCTTCCTTGCAACTGGTTAGCTTGCTTCAGATTGCCACATCTCACCACAGAAATTGTTTTTCCGGAGGAAGAAGACATACTCAATTTACAGGGTTCAAATAGTGTTGCTGCTGTGGTTGAAATGGCCTGAATAAATCTAAAACTGCATTTTGCTGGTCTCTTCAGAAAGGAGCCTTTCTGATATTCTCTGGGAAGCTGATAGGTTGTCAGGAGCTTGCTACAAGCACACACAGCATTACAGTTATAGAATTTACTACCGTGACTTTTGTGTTATGGTAGAAGACCCATGAAGCTGAAAAGCAAGGAGAAGTCACTGGCCTGGACAGGCGCACTGT